GGGGGGCTGAGACACACTTAATATTATCAGCGTTCTGATGGCATTTTAGCCAAAGGATTTTTATCAAAAACATAATTAATGTGCAGAAATAAGGAACAGTTGTATTAACCATACATGGAAACAGAGTTTTATGCGGCCCCCAGGAACTTGGGGCCCTAGGCAGCTGCCTATTATTGCCTAATGGTAAATTCAAATACTTTTTTCTTTGATTGAAAAGTTTTTTGTTCAATGAAGTGAAGTTTTTTTTAATTGAAAATATATTTTTTGATTGAAGCAACTTTTTTTGATTGAATGATAAAGAAACAAATCTACCTTCATAGCTCATCAGAGCTATGAAGGTAGATTTCAGAGCGTCGGGTCACACAGCGTGAGAACAAACATGGAGAGCTGTGAACTTTTAAACCCTGCAGTTTCATCGTACAGAGTGAGCTGTAGCTGCGTGCAAAATATCGTACAGTGTTTGCCCGACTTACGTCTCCTCTCTGTGGTCTGTGAAGAGGATCACACCATTTCACTGATGCTGTCCTCCCCATGCAGACAGTCCGTATGGTCCCTGCTTAGAGCTCACAGATCAGGAGAATAACTGCTGAAGGCATCATGGCCATGTTTCCATCTGAAAGTTTGAATATGATGAAATAAGTCTAAGAAGATTTAAAGATGACGGTTAAACTCCATGCTGTGTTCCAGGGAAAGGCCATTTTTTCTACAGAGGGCAGGTGGAGGATTCAGCCACAGCAGAGATCTCAAGATCCCAGGTAGGTCTGAGAAACATTCCTGATGCAATAAACCACGGCGGACTAGAAACATCTGAGGCAAACACCGTGTTTACATTCAGACTCAGTGGGATGTTGGTTTTTCACCAACCCAAAGCAGAACTTTAAGTCTCAAAGAAAAGGACTTGCAGGACATTTTGTCCCTCATTCCAGAAAGTGAAACCCACATTTTATAGATCCATTAACCATAGAAGTGTTTGAAGCATTCGGTGTCTAAGAACATTACATTTTTACCTCTAATGAAAAAAAGATCTCTAATGTGATGATGGCCATAAAGCTGGTCAATTAAAAAAGACTGAACTGTAAAAATCAACAATCAGCCGTTTCAAATCAATAAAGAGTCATCAGCTGCTACAGCACCCCCACTACTGCATCACCCCAAGTCTCAGTCCTCTGATTTAGTTCATTGGATTAAGGTCCAGAGTCCAGAATTTATGGTTCTTCAAGTCTGCTGTAGTTCTTCACTGATGTTTGGTGCCATGTTCTGGTCCTGGTCCACCGGTTTACCTGGAGTTCACATTCAACACAGCCTCAACCAGAACCTGATGCCTCCCTCTGCTCATCCTCCTCCACCAGGACTGAATCTGACCCGTCACCCAGAATCTTTTTGTCCTGGCCTCTGTGATCATGGGGGCAGTAGAACCAGTACACCCCCGTACAGTAGTGGTTTGAGCAGCAACTCCATGCTAAGCTTCATTGAGACGTTGGTTTCAGCAGGACTTGGTACCGACCCACACTGCCACAGGTGCCAAATGCTGCTCATTAAAGATGGTGCTGGGCTTGATTAGCCAGCAAACGGGCCTGATCAGAACCCTATGGAGGCTCTATGGTTGTCCAGAGGGAGATGAGTCCCTCCAGAACCAACCATGCCATCATAGCGACCTGGGCTTCCATTGGATCCCAGAGTTATCTTCTTAATCTGGATCAACGCGGGCGATGTTTGATTCTATGTGACTGTAATGAAGGTCTTCATTACTTGATGGTACAACACTTAAAATGTGTTAAATGATAAAAGAAATGCATGATGAAGGAAATGAACCGGATACAAACTGATTGAAATGGTTTATTAATGGTGGTTTCGGTGGCATCTCAGCTGGAACTGATTATGTCCTGTTAAAATACAACAAAGGGATGATATAAGTATTGATTGTTTAAAATGTTTGAAGGCTTGTATGGGTGTGGCTTACCTCTCTCTTCCTCTGCAGGGTGTTCAGGCTAAAAGATTCCCCGGGGGCCTGAGTACCTTTTAAAGGTTCCGGAAGAGACCAAAGCAGACGGAAGGGGGGGGAGCAGAGAGTTAGACATTTTATAAACTTAATGTTGGATTTGTATTCATATTGATAAAGATGTGTTTGTAGAGATGCTGAAAATGACTAGCATGGGCAATATATATTTTGAGGATTTTTGGTAGTTTGTCAAACCTTGTTTGTGTGTATGTATTTTGTTTTACCCTGTTTCTTGGTGGGTTTGTGTATTGGAACAGCCAACAGCTATAAAAGGCTGCATGTTGGCCATTTTGAGTTGTTGTTGCTGCTGAGACCCTAGGCCAAAATGAGCAGAGTTTGTTTTGTTTGTTAAATGTTGGTGAATAAACACCCAGTGGGGCTGCACAGTTTCTCTGCCTCAAGTCTCCTACTTCCTCCAACCGCTAAAGGCCATTCTAGCTATAAAAGGCTGCATGTTGGCCATTTTGAGTTGTTGTTGCTGCTGAGACCCTAGGCCAAAATGAGCAGAGTTTGTTTTGTTTGTTAAATGTTGGTGAATAAACACCCAGTGGGGCTGCACAGTTTCTCTGCCTCAAGTCTCCTACTTCCTCCAACCGCTAAAGGCCATTCTAACAGTGACATAGATCTATAGAATCCCTTTCTGGAATGATTTAGAACTTTTTATGAGGGTCCCACGTTTTTAAAAGAACTCAGATAAAAATCTGCTGCATGGATGTGGACCCAGGTGGAAAGGTTCTGGTTAAGGTCCAAAGGTCAAACCGAACTTAAGCAGAAGGCTTGGAACCTTTCAAGGGTGAAACGCTTATGATCCTGGTTCAAAGGCAACCAGAGATTAACTGACAGGTTCTGAATAAAACCAAACCGGATTAGGTGAATGTAGTTCTGCAGAACTCATGGCCCGGTTTCACCAACTGCTTCATGTTCTGTCAGGTGTGGCAGTGGATCCGTCACCAGGCCCGGCTGGAGGAAGACGGCAGGGTGGTGAGCCGGCAGCTGGTGACCCGGCTCACCAAGGAGCTCAGCGCTGAACTTGGTCCACTGGCTGGTTCTGAAAGGTGAGCAGCTTCAACTATCAGTGCTGTTGACCCAATCAGGCGTGTGTGGTTCTGCTAGATGACCCCAAACAACCTTAGTGGAACTAAAGGGTTCCTGAATGTACTGGTTGATTTGCTGCAGGATGGAACAGAACCTCCACACAGCAGCAGACATGTTCCTGGAGGTGGTTCTGAAGAGACACTTCCCAGAGTTCCTCACCTCATACTTGAACCTGGACCACACCTTCCTGCGCTCCCACAGCAGGAGGGAGGAAGAGGAGGAGGAAGGCCGATGGCGCGCCAGGCTGTGAGGAGAGAGCAGGACCAGGTTCTCCTTCCACCAAACCTTCCAGCACCACAGAAGAACAGGTTCTGTTCTTAGGGTCCAGAACCAGCTAAAACCCAGGAAGGAGTTATGTACTAGAATCAAGCCGGTTCTGATGCATGAAGCTGAGCGGTTGGACCGGTTCTGAGCTTCCATTCCTGCTCATCGGAACGCTGGGAGATCAGAACCAAGCAAATTGGTCTTAATCTAAACCAGGGCTGTTAACCCTGGTCCTCAGAGTCCACCGTCCTTCATGTTTTAAATGTGTCTCTGATTCAAAGGACTGCATTTCCTCAAATGCTGCAAAATATGTTAATTACCTTTTCATTCAGGTCAGGTGTGTGGAAGCAGGGAAACACCTAAGACATGGAGGAGGCCCTGAGGACCAGGGTTAGCAAACCCTGATCTAAACAATGTTCATCAATAAATCCTCTCCTGCTCTGCTTTGCTGTCTGACATCATTTCTTCAATCTGCAGCCACCCGGACCCGCCCCGAACTTTGCTCTGGTTCTGGTGGAACAGGTCCAACATTTTCAGGAGCTTTAGAAATGAAACAAAGTTGTTGTTTTTTTGGTTCTGGTGGAACCCCGGGTCAGGAGGATGGATGATGTTCTGGTTTTCTGTTACAAACACGTTTCCTGGTGCAGAGAACATCTCAGAGAATCCAGAGCCTCCAGGTGAGGTTCTGCTGAGATGAAGTGAAGCTGCAGGCTCCACGTGGTTCTGAAAGGTGAGCACCTTCTCCCCCCTACCACCACCCCCACCCACCGATCCACCAACAGTGAAGTTAAGAAACTGATGTGAGAACCTTGAACACAGTAAGGACGTGTTTATCCTTGTCTAGAGTAGAGAGAGTTTAGGGTTAGCACCCCTGCTTCAACTTCCTACATTCCAGCAGAGACTGGAACAAGGCTTCTAAATAATCACCCCTACTTAGGCAGAGAAAAGGCACACTTTAAACATTTTATCTCACAAACAGGCTAAGGAAAAAATATACTCTCACAGTTGATATAAATAACATTAACAAGGTAAAAAGCATGAAAAACCAGAACCACGGACAGAACCAGCCAAACAGTTCTCTTCCCACAATCCTTTGCCTCCAAAGTTGGGTTGTTCCTTCCTGTAGCCAGGTTTTGGTTGTTCTGGTCCAGTGGTTCAGTGGATCATCATCAGGTTGTGGTGCTTCCCCTCCAACAGGTCACAGTTGGTGCCTACCGGGGTGCAGTTGCCATGGCAGCAAGCAGGCATGAAGGCCAGGCAGTAGGGGAAGACACTGTGGCAGGAAGCAGGGTATGCCTCAACCTCCTTCTGCTGACCAAGCTGCCCTGTTTTCAGCACGTCCAGAACCTCTGAGCAGACCTGTGGGATGAATGCAGGGTGAGAACAGCTGAGAGAGAGGAGGTGAGGAAGACAATGGCGGTATGTCAGAGTCAGGGACTTGTCCAGCAGAGTGTTTATCTCACAGGTTATCTTCTCAAAAGAAGGCTCCAGGTACACCATTATCTTAGCAGCGGCAAACGCACAGCTTACAGCTCTCCGCGAGGCCTCGGATCTGAGAGGAGGTCAAGGTGCAATGCAGCATGATACTGAACGGTCCAGCGATGTACAGGCCAGGCGGTGGGGGGTGCAGTTGCAGTTCTGGCTCAGGAAGTTCTTGTTGAAGCTCTGAGGGTTGCTGTCTCCAAACAGCCTACAGATTTCCTCTTCAACGCGGTCCACACTGCCACAGCCAGGTCAGAACTCCCCACAGTGGGAGCGGCAGACAGTCAGCCTCCATTGGTCCATCCAAAGGCACTGATACAAACCTCTGATCTCAGCGTTTTAGGAGAACCGGACCAAATACTGATGCAGCCATGAGTCGGAGTGCTGGGTGGCCAAGGCCCCCTTTATGGACTGGAGCATCCACAGTGGGTTTTCCTGGGGGGGGGGGAGACAGACATGACAGAGCAGACATGACAGAGGAAGAGGAAGTTGTCCCGTCAGAGACAAACCATCAACAGAAAGCAGACAGATGTCAGCATAGCTCATCAAACATGGCGCCATGCTGCGTCCAAGAAAAACACAGGTTTCTACACGGTCAGTAGAGGTGGTACCCGTCTATAGAGGCGGTACTAGTCTACAATGGCGGTACCGGTCCATAGATGTGGTACTTGCTCAAAGAGGCGGTACCGGTCCATAGATGTGGTACTTGCTCAAAGAGGCGGTAGCGGTCCATAGATGTGGTACTTGCTCAAAGAGGCGGTACCGGTCCATAGATGTGGTACTTGCTCAAAGAGGCGGTAGCGGTCCATAGATGTGGTACTTGCTCAAAGAGGCGGTACCGGTCCATAGATGTGGTACTTGCTCAAAGAGGCGGTACCGGTCCATAGATGTGGTACTTGCTCAAAGAGGCGGTACCGGTCCATAGATGTGGTACCAGTCGATGATATAGAGTTTGTTTAGAGTACCAGAGAAGCACCAAGCAGATTTGCAGATACTGAAGTAAATTCTAGATCCGGTCCGGCTCATAGTGTCTGATCTACTGAGATATTTCTATGTAAACTTTCTTCTTTTCTGGTCTGCAGTAATGATGAAAAACATCAGGAGAAAATTACCCTGTAAACTTGGAACACATCTCCTCAGTCTCATTGATGAGGCTTCAGCATGTACTGGGCACATTTGGAGTTGATGAAGCGGTAAGCCATGTCCAAAGACTGGACCTTGTCCATCCATTGGACAGCCTCCTAAATGTCACCTGCATGCTGCAGCGACAGAGGGACAAAAGAGTCAGACGACAAGAAGGTCCACAGGAGGACAGGAAGGTTCATAGGAGGACAAGAAGGTCCAGAGAGGGACAGGAAGGTTTAAGGGGGGCTAGGAAGGTCCAACGGGGGACAGAAGGTCCAGAGGGGGACAGGAAGGTTCAGAGGAGGACAAGAAGGTCCAGAGGAGGACAGGAAGGTTCAGAGGAGGACAAGAAGGTCCACAGGAGGACAGGAAGGTCCAATCCTTAGATGATGGAAACAACAATGTTCTACCTTCTCCACCCATCAAAACATGAATTGGATAAAAAAAAGTAATAATAATAATTAGATTATTATTTTTATTATTTTTATTATTATTATGCCTACATAATGGTGAGTTCAGGAGGTGCTGTTTTACTTCAAGGATAATGTGTTTTCCTTTGCTTTATTAATATAAATTATGAGGCAGATATTAAATCTTTCTTAATAACTAACATTAAATGTTATATTATTGTTAATTTATACAATTATGCAAAAAGCTGTTTATCGTTCTTATGGCCTTTACAGCTATGGCCACATTTTGTGATAGCTCTCAATAACAATGATCAACTGAATAATGATAAAATACTAAATACAACAAAAAATTTAAACCATCAGAAAATCTACTTTTTATCCAACTGTCCTTAATTTGAAACAAAGTCATAATAATAAAAATCTTTATTAGGTTCTTACAACAAATAAACCGGGATTTTTCTCCCCAACATTTATGAATATGTTTTTTAATTTCATAAGGTGCCAGTTCGACTGTTCTGCGCTCTGTTAGTCAGGACTTCCGGTCCCTGTAATCAGCAGCATTAGCAGCGTTAGCATCGTTAGCATCAGCAGCTGTTCCTGCTAAGATGACTTTCAGCCGCTTGTTCTCCACAGCCGTCCGCATTAACAGAGGTGAGTCTCTGACAGCGTCCACATTTCAGAGGGACGGCAGTTAAAAGGCGCTGATTTTTAATTCAAACTATGCGTTTGATTTAAAGCCTGACCTTAGCTTAGCTTAGCTTAGCTTAGCATTAGCGCATCGATGGGAGCTTTCACTGTGATTTTCACTGTGAAAGTTAGTTTAGTTTAACCCTGATGGCTCTACTGTACTTTATTTAAATCCTTAGATGATGGAAACCCTGACCCAGCGGTTCAGGGTCATGTTAGCCTGAGCTAACAGCTAACAGTCTGCTTTATTGGCGCAGCTACTGACTGACATTGCAGAAGCTGCTCAATCCGACCTGATTGATTCATATAAAGTAAATTAAATATATAATTAAGAAAAGTAACTTTCAAAAACATTTTTGGAGGTTTATAAAAACATTTAAGTTCAACATATATTTTTGAATATTAACAATAAATAATGAGTAAATATATTGAAGTCACCACTGATGTTTACATCTAGGAACCAGTAGACCAATCTGCTTGTTTTAGTTCTAACCCAAGTGATTGACACGTTTGTCCAAAGTCTCTTCCTATCCACACATAAAGATGCTGTTTTTAGCAATGAGCTGATTCTTCCACGTCTCATAAATGGTGTTTTGTTCCTACAGCTGGATCCAGATCCGCCTTCACCAGCTCCAGGCCGGACACAGCCAACCCCAACTGGCTGCGGGTGGGTCTGGCCTTTGGGACGTCAGCTTTCCTCTGGGGCCTGGTGAGACACGCTGGCATAGAGCCCACCTGCCCATCAGAATGGACTCTGTCAGGTTATGGCTGACCCAGCGGGTCACGCCGCTCACCTCCTGCTTTGTCTCTTCTCTCTGCAGCTCTTCAAACAGCACAGCGCAGACGAACACGAGTACCGGCTGAGAAACGGCCTTCAGTGATCCCAGCCGATGGAGGCCCACTTCCTGCTGCGCTGATGGTGGGGCTGAAAGCGACCTTATGACTTCATGTCAGCATGGAACCAAGCACGTCTGGAACCTGCTGGAGTCTGGGTCCTCCCTGTTGGACCCGCCTGGTTCTCTTCCCCCTGCCTGGTTCTGTTCCCCCTGCCTGGTTCTGTTCCCCCTGCCTGAACTCTGTAAAATAAATAAATGTTGACCTGTAAACTGGGTCCTGTTGGTGTGATAAAGACCTGTGGAGGGACAGGGTCTGCTAAAGCAGCATCAAAGCTTATGAGCAGCATCATTACAGAGGACTAAGGTTATAGAATAATAATGATCACATCATAAAACATAGAAATAGAGCAGAACTATTTCCAAAGTCTAATTCAGTAGTTCTCCTCTAGACCACAAGGTGGCAGCAGTGATACCCTTTCAGTAGAAAACAAGTTTTAATTCTTGGTAAATTAGCATTAAACTGACCAGAGCAGTGGAAATCAATCTACTGATGCTAACGATGATCAAAACAGAATTCAGCCTCTTTCAGAGCTAATCTTTGTGTTTTATAGGGTGAAGAGAAAATAATGGCATCCAGGAGTCTTTAAACCAACATTAACTTTTTAAACCTTATAGAATATTTCCATAGCTTCTGGGATTATATGTCAACCTGAAACTGGCTGCTTGACCACCTGTCATGACCTGAGGGGGTCTGCATCGCTTTCAGCGGCACTAAGCGACTTTGAGGAAGGTGGAAGGAACTCGATTGACAGCATACGTCACTCCTCGTATTCCTCATTCATTATAAAGAGGGAGCAAACTTTCTCTGAGAGACTTTATTGGTGCAAATTGTACAGAGTTGATAATCAGGCTGATTCCTGCTGGGATCGATACAGAGATGTCAAAAGTAAAACTAAAAGTATAAAAGTAATGCAGGAAAAACACTACCCTATTAAAGGAACATTTTTCTACTATTCTGGATGATAAGTTCCTTAGACTTCATTTTCTTAGTTTTATAACTAATGGCAACAGTGTCACATTTAACTTTGCATCATCTTGATAAACTATTTATTTTGGTATGTTGAGAGTAAAAAAACAAAACAAAAAAATATATATATATAGGAAGGGAGAGAATAGAAAATCCATTTATTGTCCCACAGTTGGTAAATAGTTGTGGTGTTACAGCAGCACAAGATTACAGCAAAATGCTCACAAAACTTTTTACCTTAAAAGGTGTATAAAAATAACAGAATAAGTCACAGTGTTAAAATATATATATAATAAAACTGTATACAGTGCATTTACAAATGTTAATACTGTGCATCTGAACAATAAATAATCAATACAGCTACAGACATTTTTACAGTATATATATATGTAGAGAGAGGTGTGCATATATATGTGTAAACCTAAATATTTTTCTGTATTTAGTAAAACATTATAAATGTGTCTGTGCGTTGCAGCATGCATCCATCCTATCAGAATATTAAATTACTCTTAAACACAGTAAGTACATTGAAATTTGTTTGTTTTCAGCAAAAACAAAAAACGTGAAATTTAGCGAAACTGGTTCGGTTCCTGTTCATCACATCACACTGAGTGGAGCTACTGACCGCCCCAAGATGGCGCCACCAAATCAGAGAAGCTGTGAATGCGGGTCTGCCCTGATCTTATGGGGCGTCACCAGCAGCCCGTCACAACTTCCTGTCTACCTCGGTGGGCGGGGTTAGCTCCAGGCTCCGCCCCCCTGCGTGTTCCCCAGATCTCCCAGCTCTCTGATCCACTCAGCAGTTCGGAGCTCCGAGGCCCCCGGAGAGCAGACATGTTTACCTGCAGAGCGGCCTGGCAGCGGTGTGGGCCCCTGGCCCGGAGAGCGGCCTACAGGAGGCCCCTGGACGGTGAGTTCACCCCCCCACCCTGAATGTCCTGTGATGTAACAGCTCTACCTGCGGTAGGACACGCTGTCCTCCTGTGGATGTCTATGCATGGCCCTATAGGCTGGGTGGGGGGGGGGACAGGTTGGGGCCCTGGCTGGGTTGGGGCCCTGGCTGGGTTGGGGCCCAGGTTGGGGTCCTGGTTGGGGGTCCAGGTTGGGGTCCTGGTTGGGAGCCCAGGTTGGGGTCCTGGTTGGGGGTCCAGGTTGCAGCCCTGCACTGTGTCGCTGGCATGTTTGATTCATTCAGGGACTCCTCTGGGCTCCATGTTTTATCGGAGCCACGTGAGGCAGCGC